TAAGCATTTTCTGGTTTCTCTTTTGATTTCTTCCTTCATCCACCAGTTATTTAATAGTATGTTTTTTAATTGCCACATATTTGTGTAGTTTTCAGTTTTCCTTCTGCTATTGAATTTCTAGTTTTATTCCATTATAGTTAGAGAAGGTATTTTGTATGACTCTTTTAAAATTTATTGACTTTTTTTTTTAGTTTTATTCCATTATGGTTGGAGAAGATATTTTTTATGAATCTTTTAAAATTTGACTTTTTCTAGTTTTATTTCATTATGGTTAGAGAAGATATTTTGTATAAATCTTTTAGAATTTATTGACTTTTTTATTCCTGGTGACCTAGCCAGTGGTCTATCCTGAAGAGTGATTCATACGCCCTGGAGAAGAATTTGTGCTGTTCCGGGGGAGTGCATTCTATATATGTCTGTTAGGTCTAGTTGGTTTATAGTGTTGTTCAAATCTTCTAAATCCTTATTGATCTTCTTTCTAGATGTTCTGTCCATTATTGAAAGTGGTGTATTGAAGTCTCCAACTATTATTGGAGAATTGTCTGTTTCTCCTTTCAGTTCTGTCAGTGTTTGCTTCATATATTTTGGGGCTCTTATGTTAGGCGATAGGAGCCTAGTGGTGCACTGGGTAAGTGCTTGACTGCTAACCAAAAGTAAGTGTTCTGAACCCACCAGCTACTCCATGGGAGAAAGATGTGGTAGTCTGCTTCTGTAAATATTTACGGCCTTGGAAACCCTATGGGGCGGTTCTACTCTGTCTTACAGGGTTGCTGAGTCAGAACTGACTCAACAGTAGTGGGTGGGTAGGTGCATATATATGTTATATCTTCTTGATTGATTGACCTTTTTATCGTTATATAATGTCCTTTTTTGTCTCTTATAACAGATTTTGACTTAGTCTATTTTGTCTAATAACCATATAGCCACGCCAGCTCCCTTTGGGTTACTGTTGGCATGAAATATTTTTTTGCCATCCTTTCACTTTCAACATATTTGTGTCTTTGGGCTTAAGATGTGTCTCTAATAGACAGCTTACAGATGGATTTTTTTTTTTTCTTTTGGTAATCTATTTTGCCACTCTCTGCCTTTTGATTAGAGAGTTTAAATTGTTTACATTTAAGGTAATTGCTGATAAGGAATGACTGACTTCTGCCATTTTGCTATTTGTGTGTTCTATACCTTCTTTGACCCTCATTTCCTCCAATACTGCTGTCATTTGTGTTTGAGATTTTTTAGTGAACCATTCTGATCCCTTTTCCTTTCGGGTATTTTTTTTTGATATCTTCTTTGTGGCTAGCATGGAGGATTACATTTAAAATCTTAATACAATCAGAATGTTCCTTAGAAGCCAGGATGGCAAGACTTTGTGTCACTTTGGACATTTCATCAGGAAGGACCAATTACTAGAAAAGGACATCCTGTTTGGTAAAATAGAAGGTCAGCAAAACTGAGGGAAAACCTTCAATGAGATGGACTGATACAACAGCCACAAGAATGTACTTAAACATACCAACAATCATGAAGATGGCACAGGACTGGACAGTGTTTTGTTCTGTTATACATACAGTCACCATGAGTTGGAGTTGACTCAGTGGTATCTAACAACAACAAGAACAAAGTTTTAATTGATATCAGCTTAAGACTTCAGTATCATACAAAAACTCTGTTCATATACCGCTCCTTCACCCTACTTTATGTAGTTATCATAAATTACATCTTTACACTTTATGTGCTAAATAGCATAATTTTGTAATTATTATTTTATGTATTTGAATTTGGAACTATATAAGATAGTTGCAAAGCCCAATACCATAAAACTGGCCCTTGTACTTGCCCGTGAGATTACCTTTGAGATCTTTTTTCCCCCATATACATCTTCGAGTTATTGCCTAGTGTACTGTCAATTCTATCTGAAAAACTTCCTTTAGCATTTCTTATAGCGCAGGTCTAGTCATCACCAACTTCCTCATCTTTTATCTGGGAATGTCTTAATTTCACTGTCATTCTTGAAAGATAGTTTTGCTGAATACAGAATTCTTGGTTGATAGTTCTTTTCTTTCAGCGTTTTAAATATGTCGTCTACTGCCTCCTGGCCTCCAGAGTTTCTAAGAAATCGGCACTTAATCTTAAAGAGTCCCCTGCATGTGACATTTTCCTTCTCTCTTGCTGCTTTCAGGATTCTCCATCTTTGGTTTGAGAGTTTGATAATATGTGCCTTGGTCTGGATCTCTTTGGGTTTATCCTACTTGGAGTTTATAGAGCTTCTTGTATGTGTAGATTCCTGTCCTTCATCAAATTTGGGGAGTTTTCTGCCATTATTTCTTTAAGTATTCTGTTTCTCTCTTTTCCTTCTGGGAGTTCCATGATATATATGTTAATTAGCTTGGTGATGTCTCACAATTCTGTTAGGTTTTGCTCAGTGTTCTTGTTCCTTTTCTCCTTTTGCTTTTCAGACTCAATAATTTCAATTGCCTTATCTAATTTGCTGATTCTTCTGCCAGTTCAAATCTGTTGCTGAGTCCCTCCATTGAATTTTTTTTCCATTTCAGTTACTATATGTTTCACCTCCAGTATTTGGCTACTTTTTAAAAAAAAAATTTTGTTGTTGTTGAGAATATACAGAGCAAAAATACACCAATTCAACAGTTTCTGCATGTACAATTCAGTGACACTTATTACATTCTTCAAGTTGTGCAGCCATTTTCATTCTTCTTTTCTGAATTGTTTCTCCCACATTAACATAAACTCACTACCCCCTAAGGTTCCTATCTAATCTTTTGAGTTGCTGTTGTCAATTTGATTGCATATGGATCTTGAAAGAGCATAATGCTCATGGCAGACATTTTTTACTAGTTAAGCTAAACTACTGTTTGGTTTAAAGAAATGTTTGGTTCCATTTTAATAGTGTTTCTGTTATCATTTTGTTCAGGAGTTGTTTTTCTGATTTCCTTTATTTCTGTTTCGTGTTTTTCTTTAGTTCTTTGAGCGTGTTTAGTACTGTGGTTTTAAAGTCTTATAATCTGTATGTTATTTGGGCTTCCACAGAGATGCTTTTTCTCCCCTGGTCTTGTTTATTGAATAGGCCATCATTTCAAGTTTCTTTTTATGCCTAATGATTTTTTGTTGAAGCTGAAACATTAGACTGTTGCCATGTGTCAGCTTTCTCAATTCCCCTATGTACGCGGTGCTTTCAAAAGTGCTGATTACTGCAAGCCATCAGTTTTTGTTCACCATTCCCTCCCCAACCCTGTAAGAGCTCTGATTCAGACCAGACCAAGTGTTTGGTCCTTCAGGCAGCTCCCAGACAGATCAGAACAGATACAGTGGACAGTCTGCCAGGAAAATCTACCCTGTTTACTCCAGAGCCAGAGATTGAGGGCCTACTGTGTGAATCTGAAAACAGTGGTTCACCTCCACTATGGCCACCCACTTGCGTTCCAGGATGGGGAGGGAGCAGGAATAGTAGAGAATGACATTTTCCTGTCATTTACAGTCTTCCTTTTCTTGTTTCAGTGTGCAATCCAGTTAATTTCTGCAATTCTCTGCCTTTTCAGTGTTCTTACAGAGTTGACATTACAGATTGCAAGTTGCTTTACTTGGTGCTTGTGTGGGAGGGTCGTATCTTAGATCTGTTCATACCACCATATTCCCAGCATTTGGCCCACTGTTGTATTTTTAACTGCCATTAACATTTTATTTGCCCACAACACTACTCCTTGTAGACCCCAGCTCCAAGCGAGTTTTAAAGCTCATGCTTATATGACTGTCTGTATTGAGAGTAAGCCTAAGTGTTTTTAGAGACAGTGTGGAATAGTGCTGTTCACAGTGTTGGAGACCGATGACTGTTTAGTGAATTTAATCAAGTACTGCAGTTAGGAGAGTCGCGTCTTGCCCCGACGCACTAAAAGGCAATGGGTGCATCCCTACCTCCATCTCACGGTCCCCATGAGTGATTTAGACTTCAAAACCTCTGAGGACTCTTTGCTCCAAAATAATTGCTTAAGAACTCACCAAAAGACTTTGTTTCAATAAAGGATGTTTATTATGAAGGAAGACACACTAACATGCTTAGATACAAAATTCACTAAACACACGCCACTCTCAGTGAGCTGCAGTGTAACATGAAGACAAAAACTGTTTTCAGAGAATTTTTTGTGTTTTATAGCCATCACGTTTCTATTTGCATATTTATCAACAGTGATTATATAAATTTTTTCCCCAATCTCAGATTCAGTAACTTCTTGGAGCCATGAAGTCCACCATACAAAATTTGCATTGAAGTCTGAATGTAAATCGTAGACTCCTTCACCTTTCAGAATATAAATGTGCCTGAAGATTTGCATTCGCAGATGCAGCCTACAAAAGTTTCCTTTCAAGAAATCAAATATTCTTCATTACCACATAATAAGGATCAGTGTTCAAATGAAAAATTTTAGGGCACATTAATTCCTGCAGGGCATTGTTAATATAATTTTTAGTTAATACACGCAAGTAATAAATCTTTACATAAGATAACTACCAAGAATTTAGGCTTTCCAAAGAATATGATTTCCTCATGCCTGAAAACAAAATTCTATCGAGTCTATGTGTTTCTTAGTTGTAGAAGTCTGTAAAAAAAATCATCTAAAAATAGTAATGACAGCTACCACTTATTGAGCACATAGTATGTGCTAGGCGTTGAGCTAAGCATGTTCCACGTCATGTCATGTAATTTTTACAGTAAGTCCATAGGTGTTATTAGTCTCATTGTATAAATGAGAAAACTGAGGCTTACAGAGTTTAAGTAATTTGCCAAGTTCAAACAGCTATTAAGTACTGGAAGCAGGAGTTTAAGGCAAGGCTGTCCAACTGTGATCCCAAAGCCAGAGTACTCAACTGCACGCCATCAGTTAGAGATCCTCGATGAAGATGAATGTTTAAGCTTATCTGTGACACATCCACAAAATTTACATCGTCAGAGGAAGAAGCAAGAACAATTCAAGTGGAACACACAAAACTCACTCATTTTAGTATTTTTATTTACACATACCTTTTTCCATCATCATTATTCTAACAAGATTTTCAATACATAAACACCTGGGTACATGCAACACATTCCACAAAGGGACAAAAATCTACACCACCACTGAATAAAGAACCCAAATTATTTTATACAAAGTGCTTAAAAAAAAAAAAAAAGACCTATGGCACATTCAGAGCATATTTATTTGAATACTTTCCAATAATTAACAAAAGATGCATCATTTATAAACAACATTCAAAACAATCCCCTAATTTCTTCTATAAGCCAGAATTTAGTGTTTCAGTTAACTAGATGAACAGCAGTTCCATTCTGTCATATGAAAGGCAGTTCACATGGCATCGAAATGAAACCGATGGGCTTCTTGTCGTTTTTCTCTATCATCTGCTTTCTGAAAAAGAATTTATACATGATAGAAAAATGTCAAGAAAAGACTAATTTCTGAAATACAGACGTTAAGTTAAAAAAAAAAAAAGCCTTCAGCAATTAATAGGTAACAGGTGTGATTTTGTAACTACAGTAATCACATGAAATATTTTTATAGTTTATGCTAGCTGTTTTATAACTAATGATCCACTAACTGAATTTAAAAATCAGCAAGAAATGATCCTTAAATACTTAGTTTGTTATCATTTCTATTTATTTGAAAGTGGAGTAAACATTAAATTCTGTAAGAATGAATCAAGTACTGCATTTCTTTTCCATTCTTAACAGTGGTGATAATAAATGAATCTAAGTATGTTAAATAACATTATTTTTGGGATAACTTTTTGATTTAACATATTTATTGACCTTCTACTTGTAGCTAGGTACTATGCTTGGTATTTTTTGAGTGATTACAAAAAATACTCAGTTTTGTATTTTGCTGCCAAGAAACTTAAAACATAGAAAGAAAAAACAAAATACATTGAATAACTACACTTATGGATAAAAAGTGAAAGATGTTAACAATATTCTGAGAAAGAGACTATTACTAGGTTGGGGTGAGGAAAGGGAAATCTTTGACAAGATGCTATTTATGGCAATGGAGGGAGGAGCAGGCCTGACAAGCTGGGGGTGAAACGGGGCAGTCATGGGGTACATGAAGGAAGTGTGAGAACAGGGCTGGAAAGGCATAGATGTGGAGTCGCGTGGAAATGCTCTGACGGTTAATGAGTTTAGACATTTTGGGCAGCGGGTAGTCCTAGAGGTTTTGGAGCAGGGGAGTGACATGATTGAGGTTAAGCTTCATGATGAGGAACCTGGCAGCAATGTCACGAATGGAGTGGAAAGGGGAGAGAAAGGAGACAGGAGGTCCAGGCAGGGTGTGACAGGGGCTTCACAAAAGCGTGGTAGCAGTAATAAGAAGTGGAGTTGGCTGCAGAGACGTTTATGGGGGCAGAATCAGTAAGGCAACCGATTCAATCTTGTAGGTACGTAAGAAGGAAAGAGTGGGAGACAGCGCTGTAGAATGCTGATTTTGTGGTACCTCTGAGAAGTGACCTAGGTGGAGATGTTACGGAGACAGGCGGAGATGAGGACAAGACCTCGGAGAAGTGACCTAGGTGGAGATGTTACGGAGACAGGAGATGAGGACAAGCCTCTGATAAGTGACCTAGGTGGAGATGTTATGGAGACAG